ATTTCATTCATCTTATGTATGATGGAATGATTCTCATTTCATCATAAGGGGGAGTATGTAATAATGAATGAAATATTTATTTCCGAACTTTTTAAAGGGAATCTGATGCAAAGATCAAGGGGGAGTAACTTCGATAATGGCAAAAGACTTAAGAGAAGTGCGACTGGAGATAATTACAGAAAGATTATTCGTGTGCTACAACGACTGAGAGATGTTGAATGTGAAGATCATCTTTACAACAGTTTACTGAAGATTTGTTGTCTGAAGATTCTTTGAAGATCATATATTGTACATTGTTTTGGTTGATACCGTTCTACATTGTCAAAAGAGAAGATAACTGCGGTTCTACATTCGAGGGGGAGAATGCTAGAAGATCTTTCTTAACAGTTGATTGCTTAAAGATTTCAAGTTGAAGAATTCTTTTAAAGATGACATAATGTGATTAATGTTTCAAAGTTCAAACAAGACTCAAAGTGCAGAATTTCTTTCAAGTCCGAATACAAAGTGGGAGAATGTTTGGACTGAAAATCATTATTAAATTATATTCGTCTTGAAAGTTAAATATTGTCTATATTTGTAAAAGTCATCGTGTTTGACTTTTCTTAGACAGGTTTGACTTTGACTATGTTTAGATATTTGACCATATAAATAGGAGTTTATCTTGTAATTGTTGTAAGAGAGCTAATTGTAAAATTCATTTTACGTATAATAGAGTTTGACCAAAGTTGACTTTTTCTCTCATCTTCTTATTATGTTCTTACAAGATTATCCAGATCTGCCATTGATTCATGAAGGTTTATCTTGAAGATTGATCAAAGTGGACTAACAAATGTCCCCGTTGTAGCAAAATGAACCAATAGGGTATGGGTTGGGTGCAAGGGGAAAAGTGTTTGAGCTTAAAAATAGAAGGAGGACCTACGTGTTTTTAACTTAAACACTACTAAAAATCATCCAAGGATGTTGTACCTAAAAATAGAAATGGAACTAGACAAAAAAATGGAATCCAACCACCATGTCATTATATTCACACAAAAGAAATGACGTTTCCGTAAATCATACACAAAAGACGGAAATAAAAGTGTATCTGTACTCCAGAATGATAAACCAAAAATAATGTTTTAAGAGGTAATGATGAAAAGTCGAGAATTAAACCATTTTCTTCAAAACTGCTTACTATAGGCAAGCAGGGGCCGCATCTACTTCCATGGAGCTTTGGACAGCAGGAGCAGTAACAGGAACATGGGCAGCAGGCATGATAGTAGTGGCAGTAACAGTTGATGCATCAACAGGAGCATGAGGAGCAGGAGCAAAAGTGGCAGCAACAGAAGTAGTGACCGGCATGGGAGTCTACAAGGGTGGGAAACATCATACCAGTGGGGAGCATAGACCACTTGGAAACCTTGGAAGTTGGGCTGTGAAGAGGGCATCTTAACGCCCGTAAAGCTATCGTTCCACTCGGTTCCAGTCTCGTGTATATGCCCAAAAGCGGGCTATTTTCTTCTCCAAGTCCTAGACTTGGTCTTCCACGCTCCCCACCTTCTTCAATATTGCATCCAGTTTTTGAGTAGTTTCCTCCCATTGGATTGCCAGAACAGAAAGCCAAGTGGCTGACCCGTAACCCGAAGCCAAAGGATTGCTTGGAGGTGGCTCGGATGGGCTAGCCTCTTCGGCTGCAGTATACGGATCTTGCATTGAAGGCTCGGTCATGGGGACAACAGGTGGTTCCTTAACAAGGTCGACGGGTGGCTCGGAAGCGGCGATAACCAGCGGCTCAAAAACAGCAACGACCTGCGGCTCGGAAGCAACATCTGGTGGCTCATTTGGTTGAACATTCGGCATTGGCCATTGGTTCTTCCTGAACTCTCATGAAAGGAACTAGATCCTGCTAATTCAAAAAGGGCCGAGAGGCTCTTTCCCGACAGTCGACTGTGTTCGGTCCCAAAAGGGTGAGCAGACCACTATTGTATCCTCATCATTTGTAGGGACCTTAGGCTTGGCCATAAGTTTTGTAATAAGGGCCAGGAAGACTAAGCGTGAATGCATCTGTTGAGAGGCGGCCAGAATGGATGCGTGTATAATCAGCCTAAGGTCGATTGGCAGCTCTCTCATGATACAATAAAGTAGGACGCATCGGTCCCTTGAGATTGTACTATCATGAACAGTGGGGATCAAGTTGTGTCGCAAAAATTGAAACCAAAGCGCCGCCTCCTTGTTTAGATGGTCGGCCAAAATAATTTGGCGCCAATTGTCCCTCGACCATCCATGATCGGGGAGCGTAAGAATGGATGCAATATCATCATCTGAAACTTCCAATGTCCCTTTCATAATTTGGGCAAAAGAGCATTCCGGTGGGAGAGTAAATCCAAGGGCCGCATTGAGCTTTGGCTCCGACCAATCAATTTTCTTGCCCCGAATAGTCACCGAAATACTCTTGGTGGTACCGATGGCTGCAAAGAACTCGGTTACCATAGATACATTGGCCTTAAGCGGGGCAACCACCATATGCTCCCATTGCAAGGCCACCAAGTGATGCTTGATAGCCATAAGTGAGTTGACCAACTTCGGGTCAAAAGCACGTTCAAGAAGAATTTTATTGTTTTTGATACGGTCATACCTTTCTTGGAACGATACCACTTTGGCTTTCTTCTTCTTAGGGACTGGTTTCTTCTTCGGCTTTGCTGCTGCCTTTCACTTTTTGGAAGGTTTTGGTTTGCCTACTTCCAAAACCTCTGTTTCTTTGACTTCTTCCTCAATTTCCTCCATCTCCTCAATCTCGTTCGCAACATCCTCAACATTCTCTAAATCTTTAGCCATCTCATCTTCATAATCACTGTCTCCAGCGACTGGTTTTGGTATTGGTGGTGGCACAACAAATTCTGAACTTGAACTTGCAATGCTTCCCGAAGAGGATTATGTGCTTACAGTCTGCCCACTGGGGGGTAGTGACTGGTGTTTCCTTAACAGGAGGGGCATCCTCTGGTTGAGTCTCTTGGGGTTTATGTGTTTGTTCTTCTATAGTCTCAGGAACAGAAAAAGGGAACAACTCCTCTGGATTTGAAGAAGCATTATCTTCGAAATCAAACTGGAACTCCTCCCCTAGGGTATCACTAAGGTTAAGGTCGAAATCATGGATGATGGGTTGGCCGAGTGGTGTAGATGGAAGGGGTATAAGAGGCTGTTGTGTGGGTGGAGGGCTAATAGGCGATGGAATAGGTGAAGGTGTAGGAATAGTAGGCGGTGGTGTCGTTAGGGCTAGAAAAAGGGGTTTATTGGTTGTTGGGGGAAAGGGCATGGCGGCCGGCTGTCCTGAACTAGACGGACCGGCGCCAGTGGTGGTGGCGATATGGATAGTGGTGGAAGAGGGAAATAAAGTGGTAACTAAAGGAGGAGTTCTAGAAATGCTTACCAGAGTAACGACCGCATATGACTCATGTAGTCCACTTGGACGGCCGTGGAGCAACCGACGGTGGTGGTGGTGTAAGTTCCAGCCGGTGGTGCAAAAGCAATGGGATCGGGCGAGAGTGATTCTGATTGGGCCATGGGTGAAGCGACCGGAGGTGCAACGAAAACGACAGAGGAAGACTCGTCGGCGACAGCCCGTCGTGTAGACCGCCGTGTCGGAAGTCGGCCAGTTGGTGGTTTTCGGGATTTTGCCATGGAAGAGGATAAATGGAGAAGATGAAGAGTGTGAAATAATTTTCCTCCTTTTTTTCTTAGATAACCGACGGTTAAGAGCCCTAGGAAACCACCCCCATGGAAAACCCTTTGTGTAAGAGAATTTTGAATAAAAAAATGAAAAAGAAAATGTCTCATCATCTTACACAAGCCTCCAAAATCAGAAAACTCATCATGACTCTCCCCACTTGATACATTTCCTTCAATTCTAGAAAGGTGATCGGCCACTTGATTGTCACTTCCCTTTCGGTCAACAATCTCAAGATTAGATTCTTGCAACAGTGACTTTTGTACCAATCAAGTATGAACGGAAACGATCAAAAGAAAATACTTCCGCAAGTAATTATTTTTCTGTTGTGGTGTAATTTAATTGAGCTTCAACAAGAGTTTTATTTGCGTAGTATATGGGGTGAAAATTTTTATTTTGCCTTTGTCCCAAAACGGCACCCACGGTCCAATCACTCGTGTCACACATTACCTCAAAAGGTAGGGACCAATTTGGAGTAATGATAATGGGTGCCGAGACAAGAGCATTGTTGATTGTTTCAAAAGCCTTTTTACAATTGGAGGTGAACTCAAAGTTTGGTCAACATGCAACAAGTTTGTTGATCCCAGATCTCAATAACACTAATAATCGAGTTAAAAATAACCAAATTATGGTGTTTTAATGAACAAAGTGATGAACACTCAAGAATAAATTATGAACATTAAAGAACAATCTTGAGCGTCAAAGGTTTCACTTTATTAATAAGAAAAACGTAAAAGCGACATTTAATATAATAGGCCTAATCACCTATTTATACTAGTAAGCTAATTAGAAGATAACTATCTAATGAGACTATTTAGTTAATCTTCTATTAACAGATAATGTTTATCTAAACTGTTGATAAGCTATAATATTAAGATAAACTTGAAATCCAGCTGTCGACTTGTCATCTCCAGTTGTCTTTCATGGGATGATGAATCAACTTTATCTTCATATCTTCATCCTATGCCTCTGGTTGAATTGCTGAAGAAAACTCTAAGTGTTGTTGACCAAAGGGGTGATGAAGATGCTCTTACCATCGCATCTCTGGTTGTTCATCGACCCTGTGGTTGTTCTCCAGACTTAGTCAATTATGTCTTGATGTCTTCATCGGTCTTCTGGTTCTTCATCACTTATTGTTTTTCATTACTTTTACCCTTTATGGATTATGGGGTCTAACAATCTCCCCCTAAGTAATGAAAGAACATAAACTAATCTATGAACAGAGTTGAAGAACAGAGACTAATCTAAAAAAAACATCAAATTCCAAATTTCCATTGGATGATGAATTCTTACAATATTGGAAACAAAAGACATCATTTTTAAGGCAAAAATTTACAACTCATCATGATCTACCTTGAGATATATCCTAGAAGTGTAGAAGCAGTCTTCGATAGCCGATGACTGTTGATATCTCATGAACGAGTTGATTCCCATCTTCTTTTGGAACATGGGATCTACCTAGTCTTTCTCTGATGATCTTCTGAAACCACTCAAGTGTATCGGTTGAATACTTGAAGGCTTCAGTCAATCTAAAGAATTTCTTTACCCCAAACTCATTCTTGAAGACAAGTCCAAGCTCGGGTTGATTTAAGACTAAGGCAGATCTTTTCTCCTGCAGGCCAGGGAAGTCTTCATTTGGTGGAGCACAGGAGAGTCTTTCGATGCATAAGAGAAGAGCAATTTCAAAATCACTCTTGGCTCGATGCTTTACCAGGGTCTCCATTGTCTTTACAACCGCTCTGTTCGCTATCCCAAATTTGATGCCATGATCCTGTCGCTAAGCCGTGTATGCATAAAGTTTGATCAAGTCATAGGGATTGAGGTTGATGAGGTCATTTTCGTTGAACACGCTGATTTGACCATGTGCACTTTCCACTGGGTACTCGATGTATCTTATAGCTCTATTGGCGATTGTCCTCACTTTTAGATCCATAACCCTCCTTATCCCATCGTTTGAGAAGACAACCTGTGGTGCTTGGGTGGTCTGTCTAATAAACCTATGGTGTAGGAGGTCCATGGACTCTGGCGATAGAATCGGASGATTGAGGGTCAAACTTTCATCGTGGTCGTGATACAAGTATTGATGGATATTTCCATCATTAAGGATATTTCCATCGTGGTCAAACTCTGGACGTCTTCGCAGTGACTCCCTGTTCTGAATAATTTCATCAACTAGGCTCTGCGGAGGTTGCCTAGACGAAGAGGGAATATCCGCTCGCACCATGGTTGGTTGGGTTGAGGGTTGTGTATGGGTTGGTGAAGGTATGGTTTCTTGTTGGGTTGGTTCTGGTTCATTAGGTTCAGAATGGGTGGTTTCTGGTTCATGAGGTTCTGTTTGGGTTTGAGATTGTTGGGGTGAGGAAGGTTGGAATATTGTTGGTTCTGGTTGTATGGATAAGGTGGTGAAGGGTTCTGTGGTGCGAGGGGTTGGTGAAGAGGTTTGGTGTTGGTGATGGAGTAAAAGGTGGGGAGGTTAGATTTTCATCGGTTGAGGAACTCAACACGATGGGTTCTTGGGTAGTAGCGAAGGGAACATGTACATTTTGTACATCTTCAGAGGGCTGAGCCTCTGGTTCCCTTACCTGGGTTCCTTCGATTGTGGGTGGTGGTTGTTCTTGTGTTTGTGGTGGTGCTTGTGGTGCAGTGAATTCCATTTGCTGGGTAGCCGTGGCCTGATTCTCCCCCTCATGAGGTCCAAGACCTTGAAAATCGGGGTCTGTGTCCTCATGTTGTGGCCTCTTATGTTTGCGGCTGCTGGAGCATGAAACTCTGCTCCTCTTCTTCTTTTCTCTCCTTCCTGAAGGACGCAAGATACACCTTCAGGGATGCTTGTCTTCGGCTCTCCTCCATCATGTGAAGGAGAGAAGTGGTGCACCTTTGTTCATCAATCAGTTTCTGGGAGAGAATCCTGGTTTGTTGAATAGCGCGATGGACGAATTTGGCACTTATCTCATTAAAGGATGAGACAAGTGTGTTGGACAGACCCCTTAGGACAGCTCTGGTGGCGAACTCTATGCTTGATGATGAGGCTTGTGGTGGCACGGAGGTGGTGGTGGATGTAGATGGAGGAATGGGAAGGTTGGCTATGAGATTTCTCACCTCTGCAGTGAAGGAGGTGAAGGCTTTATCGAAGGAT